GGTCTGGGTCTCTGCTGAGGCTGCTGCCCCCGAGACCTGACCCTGGATAAGAGGAAGAAGATGGACGGATGGATAAAAGCTTAGACTGTGCCACAGGGGTTCTATAATCGTACAACTACCCCCCAAATTTTTTCTTCTAAAATCACCCAAGACTCCTCCCCCAACAACAGAGGCTCCTCCCCTGCACCCAAGACTCCTCCCCCAACAACAGAGGCTCCTCCCCTGCACCCAAGACTCCTCCCCCAACAACAGAGGCTCCTCCCCTGCACCCAAGACTGCTCAACTTGAAGCATGTGATGTGAAGAAAGGGGCTGCAGTGTTGACAGACGAGTCACTGAACCGTTTCCTGACTCGTCTCTAAACGTTCAGATAAACTACTCACCAGAGAAGGAGCTGTCAGCGAAGCGCAGCAATAAGCTACTTTTACCCACATCTAGAAAACACAAAACAGTTTCAGTCAAAAGAAAGATTTCAGTTCAGACAGGGAGAATAAAAGTTTAACTAAAATATTTTTCTTAAAGTCACAACTTTATTTAATCCTAATCCTTTAAATCAACACCTGATCTAAAGTGAAAAACACAAACTGTTGATTGTGAATAATTTAACCTCAGATCTGCCTGAGGAGATTAATTACAGGTACTCAGGTTTTAATTATTTAAAGATTTAAAACGTGTATTAATGACCTCTGACCTGCAGAAACACTGACGCTTTCTTAAATCAAGACCTCAGGACCTAAAGCAGGCTGTGGACCCCCCAACAGGTCTGACAGGTGACCGGGTCCAGGTGAGTCCAGCTCACAAACACGTCCCAGATTTAAATGACAGAGACAGAGCTGTGACCGACCATGACTCAGCAGGTCGCCGACCATGACTCAGCAGGTCGCCGACCATGACTCAGCAGGTCACCGACCATGACTCAGCAGGTCCCTGACCATGACTCAGCAGGTCACCGACCATGACTCAGCAGGTCACTGACCATGACTCAGCAGGTCACTGACCATGACTCAGCAGATCCTGAAAACCTCCTGTTTAGGTTTTCCTTCCAACAGAACCGGGTCGGTCGGGTCTAAAGACTCCAGGTTTCAGTGCAGACGTGTCCCAACAGAACCCACATCTGGTTTGAAACCAGGAAACAGAGAAATCTCTGACTGTAACCTGGTTCTGTTCTGTGGACGGGTCCAAACGTCTGAATCAGTGACATTAAAGACCAGACCCTCAGGTTTTATCAGTACCGGTTCACTGGACCAGAACCACACCACAGACTCAAAGAGTAAAGCTGAAGGATGTTTCTGTTCTGCAGACTCAGCAGGAGATAAATCAGAACCTTCAGAACCAGAACCAACACACACCAATGATCAGAACCAAAATACAAACCGGAGTCTCCGATGATGAGCAGCTTGAACAGGTGATGGTAATCTTTTCCCGCCATCACAGTGACTCTGCTGGGCCTTCTCTAGACCCGGTTCAGATCAGGGATTCTGGATCAGAACCGCTGTCCACAGAACCAGCTTCTAACAGAACATTTCCTGCTGAAGCTGAGTCACCGTTTCTCTGCACCTGTTTGGGTCTACAGGTCCGAGCAGAACCAGAACCAGAACCAGATCAATGTTTATGATTCAGGCTCCAGAACCACAGCGAGCCGCATGTTTCCAGGTCCAGTTCCACCCTCTCCTGTGGGGGACTTCCAGATCAGAGTCCAGCTGGACCCAGGTCTACATCTTCAGTTCTGACGGGTCATCAACCCGTCTGTCGGTCCTGAACGTTCTACTTCCTGTTCCTGGGACGGATCCAGTCGTTCACTTCCTGCTCCGGGGGAAGGTTCTGTGTGCTGACATGAACAGAACCAGCCTGGAGAGGTTCTGAAACAGACAGGAGGACCGGAGTGAGTCACTAAATACAGAACCAGAACCAGAACCAGCTGCTGAATGACGGCAGYGACGTCACTGTCACCGTCAGGTAAAACCGGAAGTGAAGAACTTATCCTGAATCACAGCTTAAAGTCTGAATTTACTCAAAACTGAAGTTTAGCTTTGAATTTTTTCAAAATAAGTTTTCTGACTTCCTGGAGCTGAAGTCTTTAACTCGGCTCAGATTAAAGTTCCTGAAATTATTTTATTTTATTTAAATTTMCTTGTTTCAGTTCGAGTTTTACTTCTTCATAAATCAATAAAAACATAAAAACTGACTGTTTTCTGAGCAGTTTTAATTAAAAACACGTGTTTTTATGGTCCAACAGTTCTGATGGAACCTCTGAGCTGTTCCGGCTTGGACTCGGTCCACTCGGGTCCTGGATCAGGACTTTTTCTGGATCTGAAACTGTTTCAGTCACGAGCTGGATTTCAACACAAACCGTTAGTGTGCGCATGCGCGGAGTTCAACTACAGACCTGGACTTTAACCAACTAACTACTGTCAGCCGGGTTAACGTCCAGACCAGACCAGACCAGACCCGTCCTGGACCCACATCTGAACCGGGCTGGATCCAGGACGGAATGTCGGGCCCCGAACCAGCAGGTCAGGAAACTTCCCACCCGAACCCAAAGTCCGGACCTGCAGTAAAACAGACTCACCTGGGTCAGGACGTGGACCAGGACTCGGAGTCTGGACGGTTCCAGACCCGCGGCAGACTGCAGTTTACAGCCCGCAGGAACAGCGCTGTCCCCGGTCACACTACGGTCCGCTCCCCGGCCACACCTGACCGGCTCTGCTCCATTTACTGCCCGGCTGACAGGGTGGTTGGAGGTGGGAGGGGTTTGTGCTCCATTTACGGCCCGGCTGACAGGGTGGTTGGAGGTGGGAGGGGTTTATGCTCCATTTACTGCCCGGCTGACAGGGTGGTTGGAGGTGGGCGGGGTTTGTGCTCCATTTACGGCCCGGCTGACAGGGTGGTTGTAGGTGGGCGGGGTTTGTGCTCCATTTACGGCCCAGCTGACAGGGTGGTTGGAGGTGGGCGGGGTTTGTGCTCCATTTACGGCCCGGCTGACAGGGTGGTTGGAGGTGGGCGGGGTTTGTGCTCCATTTACGGCCTGGAGAAGGCCCCGCCTCCTCCAGCTGCAGTCCACAGCAGAAGGCCCCGCCCACAGAACCACACACCTGACTTGTACAGACACTGCTGCAGGTGGACTCTCAGGAAAGAATAAGTGAAAGAAAAGCTCCAGTTCTGCATTTTTATTAAAAAGGTTATCAGTTTGTGATTTTATAGACAAAAAAAGTTTGAACTAATTGTGGTACAGGAGGAATTAATCCAAAAAAAACATTTATTTTATGTCCATCACCTCCAGATAAAACTGAAAAGACATTTAGTTTCTGCCTGAAGCTAAACTCAGATCCAACAATAAGAACAGTTTCATGTTTCACTGCACAGAAAATCAATAAAATCTACATTTTATTCTTACATCAATCATTTAGACAAAAATCTACCTTATTTCAGTTTCAGGTCACATCACATGAAATCACAGAGGAATCAAACAACTGATATCTACAGGAGGAACATTCAGACACATACAGAAGAGATGCTCCTCCCCCTGCAGCAGAAGCTCCTCCCCCTGCAGCAGAAGCTCCTCCCCCTGCAGCACCTCCACAGCATGGCTGCTTGAATAAACAGTGACATCAGTTCCCTTTAAAAGCTGCAACATGTACTGAGAACAGCTCACAGTCCCCTGTAATGTCTGGTTTCAGCTCAGGCTGCAGTCCGGGCTCTGGGGTCCGGGCTCTGGGGTCCGGGCTCTGGG